ATATGAGGAACTCGTCAAAATTCAACAGCCCCTCATCAAGCAAGAAAAGTAGATTTTCAATACTGAAAAAAGAAATTATGAAAACATGTAGATATTCATGATCCAAAATTAGAATTCCTGTTTTACTTCGAAACTTTTTAAGTTTTGTGTATTTTTTAAATTTTAAATATACGCTAAAATTCAGAAATTTTCCTCTTTCATAACTTTTTTCAAGACTTACAAAGTTAATTTGTTTAATGTTTACCTCAAATCTCCCATTCCCGAGGTTTCGACGTCTGCTACAAACACTTCCGGTGTTACGCGTAACTAAAGTAATTTTTAGCTCACGGCGAGGAAGTAAACGTGTACGTGTAGGTTAAACGTACACGTTGCAAATCTCTTGTAACTAAAGGTCTCTATTATAAAATGTAGTACATGTGTAAATAATAATTTTAATTTGATCAGGAGTTCAAGTTGACATCAGACAGAGACCCAAGATGATTAGTGCAGGGACTCAATGTAACAGGGATTTAGAAGAGTTCGAGCTTTCAAGAAAACCTAAATTGACGCAAAGATCATATATGATTGATGATGTTGACTATACTGCTCCCATTTACACAGATGAACGGAACAAAGACTCGGATTATGAGCCCAACTTATCAGATGACTCACTGTCAGACACCTATTCTGAAGAAAATAGGTAGATAGAATTGTACCATAATTAGAGTTTTTTTAGCTCTACTGGTCAGAGACCAGAAGAGCTTATGCGATAGTAATGCGTCCGGCGTCCGTCCGTCTGTCTGTCTGTCTGTAAACAATTTTTCAAAATGCTACTCCTCCTACAGTTTTGATCTGATTTCAATATAACTTGGCATATAAGTAGACTACACTAATATACATAATTCTGTTTATCGGTTTTTGATTTCGACAAACGGTGTAGGCGTTGTTACTAAAAATAGAAATTTCTTTGAAATTCTTTCGAAATGCTACTCCTCGTACAATTTTGGTCTGATTTCAATATAACTTGGCACACAAGTAGACTACACTAAGATACATAATTCTTTGTATCAGTTTTTGATTTCGACGAAGGGTGTTGGCGTTGTTACTAAAAATAGAAATTTCTTTGAAATTCTTTCGAAATGCTACTCCTCCTACAGTTTTGGTCTGATTTCAATATAACTTGGCACACAAGTAGACTACACTAAGATACATAATTCTGTTTATGGGTTTTGATTTCGACGAACGGTGTTGGCGTTGTAACTAAAAATAGAAATTTCTGTAAAATTCTTTCATAATGCTACTCCTCCTACAGTTTTGGTCTGATTTCAACATAATTTGGCATATAAGTAGACTACACTAAGATACATAATTCTGTGTATCAGTTTTTGATTTCGACGAACGGTGTTGGCGTTGTTACTAAAAATAGAAATTTCTGTAAAATTCTTTCAAAATGCTAGTCATCCTACAGTTTTGGTTTGATTTCAATATAACTTGGCACACAAGCATACTACACTAAGATACATAATTCTGTAGATGGGTTTTTGATTTCGACGAACGGTGTTGGCGTTGTTACTAAAAATAGAAATTTCTTTTTGCTACTCCTCCTACAGTTTTGGTCTGATTTCAATATAACCTGGCATATAAGTAGATTACATTAAGATACATAATTCTGTTTATCGGTTTTTGATTTCGATGAACGGTGTTGGCGTTGTTATTAAAAATAAAATTTTTGTAAATTCTTTCAAAATGCTAGTCCTCCTACAGTTTTGGTTTGATTTCAATATAACTTGGCACACTAAGATACATAATTCTGTGTATGGGATTTTGACTTCAATGAACATTATTACCTTGGTTAATAAAGATATCAATTTCTGTTACTCTCAAAATGCTACTTCAAATACAGTTTTAGTCTGATTATAATATAATGTGGCATGCAAGAAGACTAAACAAGAACATAAAGACACTTATTCAAGGATCATTATTCTCCTTTTTCTAGTGTAAATTTTCAATTCCCAACTGCTTAAGTACTTTCCTCTTCCTTTGTCATAAGAGCAAACCAGTAGAGCTACAGTCTCGACAGAGACTTCTGTTTTTTTTTTTACTTTTCTTGCATTAGTGTACAAAATACAATTTTATGGATTTTTTTTTTAGTCAAAGTGAAGGTACAGGAGTGTGGAATGAAAGAAAATTCATTGTATTTGAATCCAACCTACTCGAGCTATTCCGCTACTGTTCATCTTGTTCATCTGTGACCTTATTTGCTGTCAAGAAAATTTTAGGGTCCTTGGTTCAAGTTGAGCAAATATGTGGCAGTTGTGGACATCACAGGATATGGAACAGTCAACCAATGACTGGGTCTATTCCATCTGGAAATCTACTTTTATCTGCAGCTATTCTGTTTACAGGTAACACATCAGCTTGTATAATTTAACTTGTTTAATGAGGGCATTGGGGGAAAATACTATAACTTTTTTTTAATTTCCAGGCTTACTTCCATCAAAAGCTCTTAGGTTTTTGGAACATCTACATATCCAGACCATTACAGCCAATACATTCTTCCAACACCAGAAGCACTATCTCCACCCCTCAGTTTGTAATGTTTGGAAAAACTTTCAGGACAATTATTTTAGAAAATTGGCAGAAAGCGACAGAGCTTTAACTGTTGGAGGGGATGGTCGAGCCGATACCCCTGGGCATTCTGCAAAGTTTGGAAGCTATGCCCTGTTGGATATGGACCTTTCTCTTGTAATCAATATAGAACTAGTACAGGTACCTATTTAATGGTCATATCATATACTTGTAAGTTGTATTTTATGCAAGTTGATATGATTTAACATCATTTATCCTTCACTTGTAGAGCAATGAAGTGAAAAGTAGCTATCACATGGAAAAGGAAGGGTTTATTAGGAGCACAAACCATATTCAGGAAAGAGGGATTAAAATCAAAGAGATCATAACTGACAGACATGTGCAGATTGTGAAAAACATTCGAGAAGAAATGCCAGAAACAGTCCATCACTTTGATGTATGGCATGTAGCAAAAGGTAAATTAATGTTTTTGGCATTTAAAAAAGAAACATTTTATTTTTGGGTAGACTTACATGTATTCTAAGTATTCATAATATTTGAAATTATGTAAATTATGAGGAGTAAGTAACGATACAAAATTGTATTTTCATAAATCAGGATTAAAGAAGAAGCTGACTGCTATGTCCAAAGAAAAAGGGTGTGAACAACTTCAAGAATGGATCAGGAGTATATGCAACCATTTATATTGGTCTGCTGCATCAACTCCAGATGGAAATGGGCGGTTGATGCTAGAAAAATGGCAGTCATTTGCTAATCATGTCCAAAATATTCACGAACATGATGGTGAACTTTATGACACCTGCCCGCATGGTCCTTTGGAAGGCATTGAACGACGCAAAAAATGGTTAATACCAGGTAATATAGCACATATTAGCAAGTGTTATTTTTTTCTGGGTTTAATTAAACAAAATTGTATCAGTTTATGCAAATACGTTTCATTATTTATAAGGATCAAAAGTGGCTGAAAAGTTCTCCGACCTGGTCTTCTCAAACCAGATGAAGAAAGACGTCCCCAAATTATCACCTGGTTCCCAGACAGCAGCACTGGAAGGATTCCATGCAGTTGTCAATCACTTTGCACCAAAAATGATTGGCTTTTCATATCATGGGATGCTATCAAGGTATATATTATTTCTAATAAGAGTCAACATATTAACAATTTTATATTTGTTTTTATATATTTTCTATTCATATTCTTAAAATATCTTACAGACTTATTCTCGCTGCTCTCCATTTTAATGAAAATGGAATGAGGGAACAGGCCACAACCAAAGATGGGAAAAAAAGATTTGACATTGTGTTTCCAAAATTCAAAAGAGGGGAATATACAGTTCGGAAGGTTAAAGTGGAATGCACTTATGGTACAGTTTTCATAATTATACAATCAACCAAGTGAAAATAAATGTCACAAATACATATCTTTTTTGTTGTACTTTTATAACATTTCAAATTATAATTATTTTCGCTTTATACAGATTATGTAAAGAAACTGATGTCTTCTGTTGAGGAGCGGGCCTCTCAATTCAGCATGAATTCTAGTGTAGTTGTCCAGCGTCAGCCTGCACCTCCTCCTTTGTGTAGTGTCTATCACCATCAAGTATCGAGATTTAATCAGCAAAATTTTGGAGACGATGATTCCTCTGCTTGTTGCTAAAAATATCTAAAGTTCCTTGTATATTTAACATACATTCATGTCTACATATGCACTTTGCTTAGATCCTTAACCTGGTTTGAAACCAGTATAATGTCCTGATCCACTTGGAAAAGTGTTTCTGATATAAGCGACTGCACAGGAGGGTAGAACAACCCTTACTTTCTTTCCCAAGTACCCCCATGCCCAGCGTGCAAGCTGTCGATAAGCTGTATATCTGTACATTCTGAAATGAAATTTCATGACTTGATTATAATCCTTTTTTTAAATATTTATTACATGTTTTAATTGATATACATTTATTTATTTAAATAATAAAGACAGTACAACAATAAACTTACTCCGATGAATCTGGTATACTTTCATTGTATTGTTGTCTATACTGATAATATGCAATTTGCAGAACATATACATTTAGACATGCTGGATGGAAACCAGGGTGAAATGTTATACAATTAATTGCATTTTCTGATTCTTCGAGTAGGGCATGCACCCTATCCACTTCTTGACAGCATACACACTCAGCTGCTGTAGGCATTACTATACAGTTTCCACATGTGCACCTGTATAGAAAATTTAAAGCTTACATTATACTTTTATCAGATCATAGTGTTATTTTGTCGGGAAAAGCACGCCACGGATATAAAAAAAAAGCAAATTAATTCATTAAAGTAGTTACCATTCGGTATTTTGAAGTCTGGTGTTATTATCATCGTAATCTGCACGTTCAACTTCAACAGACTCCTCATCAGAACTACTTGCATACGGTTCAAAACGGAATGGTGCAATTGAATTTGGGTCGGTTTCAATATTTTCATCGAAGCTAGAAGAACCACAGGATAAATCCAACGACAGTTCGTCTTCAGATACCTCTGATTCTACGTAATTATCCTCCCTGACAGCTCTCTCGGCCATATCTACACACAACACGTGTATGCTAAACACATCGTTTGACGTCACGAAACTTGTGTACATTAAACCGGAAGTTACACTTAACTGGATTATCGATCGCCGAGGCAGGTGCAAATGAGCATGTTTATCTATAAATATCTCGGGAAATACGATGTCTTTTTTCATCGGGTTTTTTACATTGTCTTTTTTATGTAAAGCTCTGGTCATTCAAAATGCCTTGTATTTCTCTGTGGCCTATCTTTAATACCCATTAATTGTACAAATGATAATGTGAAGTATTTTGGTCATATAGAACTTAATAACAGACAAATTTTGCCTTATGGGACTGCTTTAATAATAGATTATATTTTGACTTATGGGACTAAAACAAGAGTTCAGTCCACTTTACAGAAGAACAAGATGGAGGAAAAGGATTTGTATGGAACGCCATGGCTGCCTTATGTTAGATGATTATATTATATGCTGTGCTTCTTATATTATATGCTGTGGATTTGTAATTATATGCTGTGGTTCTTTTATTATATGCTGTGGATTAATAATTATATGCTGTGGATCTATTATTATATGCTGTGGGTCTATAATTATATGCTGTGGTTTTGTAATTATATGCTGTGGATCTATTATTATATGCTGTGGGTCTATAATTATATGCTGTGGTTTTATAATTATATGCTGTGTGTCTATAATTATATGCTGTGGGTCCATTATTATATGCTGTGGTTTCATTATTATATGCTGTGGGTTCATAATTATGTGGGTTCATAATTATATGCTGTGGGTTCATAATTATATGCTGTGGTTCTTTTATTATATGCTGTGGTTTCATTATTATATGCTGTGGGTTCATAATTATATGCTGTGGGTGTATTTTTTCGTATTCTGTCAGTTTATTAGAAACTAGTTATTCGAATCTGGACTTATGGTTTTTTTAGTTTACTTGCTCAAAATATGGCGGCAACTGCACCAGGCCTAACCGTAATAGGAATGAGAGAGTGGAGTGCTGAATAGGAAGGCATTACCTGATTGGTTTAAATGAGGTACATGTATGTTATGTTTTTTTAAAGTAAAAATATTAATGTTTGAAATAAATGAGTGAATGTATGAATATTACAGAAATATAGAAATACCCAAGGAGACTATAGGAGCGGAGGTGGATTTTTTTTTTTTTGGCAGAGTGTTATTCACTGGAGGTTACTATAAGTTAATTTTTAATTTTAAACAACTGCAGTTTTGACCTATAAAGGCCATGGGACCCTATATATATATTTTTTGGAGGGGGGGGGGGGTATAAGCGCCTGGAATAAAGTTTCAAACGATTCCAAGGAATTGTTTGAAATTAAATTAGTATAGTAGTGAGAGGACAAAAGGTTTGCATAGAGTTCTGTGGGAAAATAATTGGTACTCTTTTCCTTATAGAGATCTTAATTTTTAAAATGTTAAGTGAATTTAAGGTCAAGAAGAATGATATTTTGCTCTTTATTTGACGACACACCGAGAGGAAATATACATGTATATATAAAAAAAGAAAAAAAAAGATTTGTTTTTGGTGTGTTGAGATTTGAGAGGAGTTATGTCCTTTGTTTAAGAGGGGGGGGGGGGGGGGAGTGAGAAGAATGTAGATATTAGCATATATAGGCGTCGGAACCGGGGGGGGGGGGGGGTTAACCCCCCAATTTTTTTAGCTCACCTGAGCCGAAGGCTCAAGTGAGCTTTTCTGATCACATTTTGTCCGTCGTCCGTCCGTCCGTCCGTCTGTCCGTCTGTCTGTCTGTCCGTCTGTAAACTTTTCACATTTTCGACTTCTTCTCAAGAACCACTGGGCCAATTTTGACCAAACTTGGTACAAAGCATCCTTGGGTGAAGGGGAATTTAAATTGTTAAAATGAAGGGACATATCCCCTCGCAAGGGGAGATAATCAAGAAAAGACAAAAATAGGGTGGGGTCATTAAAAAATCTTCTTCTCAAGAACCACTGGGCCAGTAAAGCTGAAACTTATGTGGAAGCATCCTGGTATAATGTAGATTCTAAATTGTTCAAATCATGACCCCCGGGGGAAGGGCGGGGCCACAATGGGGAATCAAAGTTTTATATAGAAATATATAGGAAAAATCTTTGAAAATCTTCTTCTCAAGAACCACTGGGCCAGAAAAGCTGAAACTTATGTGGAAGCATCCTGGTATAGTGTAGATTCTAAATTGTTCAAATAATGACCCCCGGGGGAAGGGCGGGGCCACAATGGGGAATCAAAGTTTAATATAGAAATATATAGGAAAAATCTTTGAAAATCTTCTTCTCAAGAACCACTGGGCCAGAAAAGCTGAAACTTATGTGGAAGCATCCTGGTATAATGTAGATTCTAAATTGTTCACATGATGACCCCCGGGGGAAGGGCGGGGCCAAAATGGGGAATCAAAGTTTTACATAGAAATATATAGGAAAAATCTTTGAAAATCTTCTTCTCAAGAACCACTGGGCCAGAAAAGCTGAAACTTATGTGGAAGCATCCTGGTATAATGTAGATTCTAAATTGTTCACATGATGACCCCCGGGGGAAGGGCGGGGCCAAAATGGGGAATCAAAGTTTTACATAGAAATATATAGGAAAAATCTTTGAAAATCTTCTTCTCAAGAACCACTGGGCCAGAAAAGCTGAAACTTATGTGGAAGCATCCTGGTATAATGTAGATTCTAAATTGTTCACATCATGACCCCCGGGGGAAGGGCGGGGCCACAATGGGGAATCAAAGTTTTATAGAAATATATAGGAAAAATCTTTGAAAATCTTCTTCTCAAGCACCACTGGGCCAGAAAAGCTGAAACTTATGTGGAAGCATCCTGGTATAGTGTAGATTCTAAATTGTTCACATCATGACCCCCGGGGGAAGGGCGGGGCCACAATGGGGAATCAAAGTTTTATATAGAAATATATAGGAAAAATCTTTGAAAATCTTCTTCTCAAGAACCACTGGGCCAGAAAAGCTGAAACTTATGTGGAAGCATCCTGGTATAATGTAGATTCTAAATTGTTCAAATAATGACCCCCGGGGGAAGGGCGGGGCCACAATGGGGAATCAAAGTTTTATATAGAAATATATAGGAAAAATCTTTGAAAATCTTCTTCTCAAGAACCATTGGGCCAGAAAAGCTGAAACTTATGTGGAAGCATCCTGGTATAATGTAGATTCTAAATTGTTCAAATAATGACCCCCGGGGGAAGGGCGGGGCCACAATGGGGAATCAAAGTTTTCTATAGGAATATATAGGAAAAATCTTTGAAAATCTTTTTCTCAAGAAACATTGGGGCAGAAAAAGTGAAGCTTATGTGGAAGCATTCTGGGGTAGTGTTAATTCTAAATTATAGGAATCATGACCCCCGGGGGAAGGGCGGGGCCATTATAGGGAATCAAAGTTTTACATAGAAATATATAGGAAAAATCTTTGAAAATCTTTTTCTCAAGAACCACTGGGCCAGAAAAGCTGAAACTTATGTGGAAGCATCCTGGTATAATGTAGATTCTAAATTGTTCACATGATGACCCCCGGGGGAAGGGCGGGGCCAAAATGGGGAATCAAAGTTTTACATAGAAATATATAGGAAAAATCTTTGAAAATCTTCTTCTCAAGAACCACTGGGCCAGAAAAGCTGAAACTTATGTGGAAGCATCCTGGTATAATGTAGATTCTAAATTGTTCACATGATGACCCCCGGGGGAAGGGCGGGGCCAAAATGGGGAATCAAAGTTTTACATAGAAATATATAGGAAAAATCTTTGAAAATCTTCTTCTCAAGAACCACTGGGCCAGAAAAGCTGAAACTTATGTGGAAGCATCCTGGTATAATGTAGATTCTAAATTGTTCACATCATGACTCCCGGGGGAAGGGCGGGGCCACAATGGGGAATCAAAGTTTTATAGAAATATATAGGAAAAATCTTTGAAAATCTTCTTCTCAAGTACCACTGGGCCAGAAAAGCTGAAACTTATGTGGAAGCATCCTGGTATAATGTAGATTCTAAATTGTTCACATCATGACCCCCGGGGGAAGGGCGGGGCCACAATGGGGAATCAAAGTTTTATATAGAAATATATAGGAAAAATCTTTGAAAATCTTCTTCTCAAGAACCACTGGGCCAGAAAAGCTGAAACTTATGTGGAAGCATCCTGGTATAATGTAGATTCTAAATTGTTCAAATAATGACCCCCGGGGGAAGGGCGGGGCCACAATGGGGAATCAAAGTTTTATATAGAAATATATAGGAAAAATCTTTGAAAATCTTCTTCTCAAGAACCATTGGGCCAGAAAAGCTGAAACTTATGTGGAAGCATCCTGGTATAATGTAGATTCTAAATTGTTCAAATAATGACCCCCGGGGGAAGGGCGGGGCCACAATGGGGAATCAAAGTTTTATATAGAAATATATAGGAAAAATCTTTGAAAATCTTTTTCTCAAGAACCATTGGGGCAGAAAAAGTGAAGCTTATGTGGAAGCATTCTGGGGTAGTGTTAATTCTAAATTATAGGAATCATGACCCCCGGGGGAAGGGCGGGGCCATTATAGGGAATCAAAGTTTTACATAGAAATATATAGGAAAAATCTTTGAAAATCTTCTTCTCAGGAACCACTGGGCCAAAAAAGCTGAAACATATGTGCCCATGGAAGGATCATGGGGTAGTGTAGATTTCAAAATGTCTAAATTATGATCAGTGGGGTAGGGTGGGGATGCTTTATGTATTACAAGGGGGAAATCTGGTAAAGAACAGAATGGTCAAAGCTTCTCAGGTGAGCGATGTGGCCCATGGGCCTCTTGTTTTCCAAACATATACTTAGTCTAGACATTGAACATTGTTTCTTAGGTTTAGCCCCTCCCCCCCCCCCCCTCCCACTTTCCACAGATACGTCGCAGTATAGGTTAAAAATGGGGAAAATGGTGGTGTTTAAAAAAAAATTAGGTACTAAAGAAGTTCGTCGAACCTAACCACCACCACCCCCCCCCCCCCCCACCACGACACGAAATAGAATTTTCGTGATTAGGTCATTTTCCTTTTTTTGTATTTGCTTGTCAGGTTTTTTGGTGAAATGTTTTTTTATAACTTAGCCCCCCCCCCCCCCCCACACTTTCAATTTGCTTCCGACGCCAATGATTAGTATAGCGTGATGCATTTGATTATGCCCGAGGAAGTAAGTAAGG